TCCTCTGTGTTCTTCAATTTTCAGTTCTTTTAGCTTGTTGCATTTGCCTTATCTTTGTATCAGGAAGGATTTAGCTGTTCACAGTAGGAATTTTAACAATCTCTCAAGCCAAAGTATCCATTTTTTTTTAAATAACAGTATAGCTAGACAACAAGAATATTTGTAAAAACCATTTTGAGAAATCAAGAATCAGGAAATTGGGTGTAACTTACCTGGGTCAGGCCCATTGGATACAGTAAACATTAATCTTGTTTTAATTTTTTTATTTCATTTTATTCTATTGTAAAAAGTGAAATAAAAATAATAGAAAATTCACTTCTTTTTATCAGCATTTATATTGTACATGCTATAGAATTTCATACTATGCATATATTTTTATTTTTTCTATTTATGTTTCTCATGGTTTTGTATTATATAATCTCTTATTTTCATTTTCAGTGTGTATCACTTTTTCATCAAATTAATATTCCTCACTTTCTTGATTATATGCCTATTTATTTGCTTTAAAGTTATCTCTAGTAAACCTTAATCTTGTGTAATTGAAAATATTTTCTAGGAAGGCTTTTTAAAAAGTTTTTTTATATATAACTTCTCTCTAAACCCTTAAATACAAAGAATTCAGATAATGCTGCTTTGGATTTTTTTCTTTTATTCTTTTAGTGATTTGAAAGAGTCCCCAATTTGCCTGGCTAGAAAAAGCTACCAGAAAATCTCCATAGTAGGGTGGCCTTGTTCAGGCCCATCATATTGCTTACCTAGGCTTTAACAGAACCTTCTTTATTGGTCTCTCTTCTGTTGTCTCCATGCCTTCCAATCCATTATCCACACTGCCACTATTGTAATTATTACCCATTAAAATTTTTTTCAACACTCTCTGATACCTATAGGATAAAATTTTATTATCTTTGTATATGTAATGTTTAAGATCCTTCTTAAATATTGTGTCTGTCCAGCCACAGTTCCCTGTGTGTTCTTCTACTATGACACCAACCTTATTGAAATGAACTGTTGGGAGCTGTTTACTTCTCTTGGCTTTAAGCTCTTAAGAAACAGAAGCTCCGCCTCATTCACCACATAATCCTTAGTCTTGATATACTTTTTTCTTCCACTTCCTATAACTCTCCATACTTTCAGCTATAATAATGAGCTTGCAACTCACAACTCTCTGGCTCATGCCTTATTTTCTCATGCCTTTATGCCTTCACATAACCTTTTACTTTTCTGCTCCACTTGTTAAAGCATAACTTGTTCTCCACCTCTCATCTCCCAGATTACCTGTAGGAGCCTTTTCCTGATCCCTTGAAGCCTTGGCACTGTTTACCTTAAGTCCTCCTGTGTCAGGCGCACACCTTTAGTGTGGCAATGACCATTTCAGTTGTGATTGTTGCCCTCTGTTGCCTCAATAGACACAATGCTCATTGAGAGCAGGGGATCTTTTTTCTTTTAATTTCACTTTCTAGTATAGTACCTAGCATATGGTTATGTGTGTAATTATTTGCTGAATAAATAAATGAGTGAACGGATGGTTGAAGATAAAAGTATACACATCATGGCATTTTTCAGACATCGGGCTTGTAGGACTCAAAATTGTGTACAGAATCAAATATAAGAATAAAATTTTTAGTGTGTACAGTGAAATTGAGAGACCCACTTTGTGGATCCAAGTTAGAAATTTAAAAGTGAGTTCTATTATTCACCAAAAGTGTCATTTTAGGGCAAAAAGTGTCTGCCAAGAAGGACCTGGGAGTGGACTGACTCCAGTTTTGGTAGGGACATGAGAGAAACCTTGTTCCTTCCTGTCCCTTTTAGTACCAGTTCTTCATAGTCACCCAAGTTGTATTCTAGGGAACTTGATTACAATACACTGGGGTATTCTTACCAAGTTGGAATTATCTTGGAAGCACATAGAAGACCCAAAATACTCAAACTGTTCCTCATTTAGGCTAACTACATACTGATCAGTTGTTTGTGTTACGTGTGTAGAAAATGCTACCTTCATTTTACTTACAGTTAAGTTATTCCTACAGTTACAGCAGATTTACTTGGGGTATGTCAACACAGATGTTATAATTTTTAATTCTTTTTGGAGTTTAAGAACTTCAGTAAGTTTAGGATCCAAATATTTCTTCTTAAGGAAATAACTCTGTTTACTTTATACTAAGTTATTTATCTTGACCTCCCATGACCTTTCATTTAATAATTTTTTACAGTTCACATTAGGTATCAGGATTTTAGAACATGATTAGGTAACAGGATTTAGAACTTGAGATACTGTTTCATAAGTATTCTGAAGTTAATTTTTGTCTAGTTTTTAACTCAGGTGGTTCTTGATAGCAGTACTGTTTTTCTTGTACTGGTAGGAAGCTTCGCTTCCCCTTCACTGCATTACACATACAAACACAAATTAGTAGACATGTTGCTGCTTTTTGGCTGAAAGGACAGGTGGGGTAGCACCCTCTTATCTGTTAGGTAGTGAAAGCAACTCTAGCAAAGGAAATTGAATTCTGTTCTTTTGTACCTGCGGCCAAGATCTTAAGCCCCGGGAAAGTGTTTGTATGTGTGTACTCTACTGTATAGCTCAGTACACTTGAGGCTGGTTCCTTCTCACTCTCATTAAGCAGACCAGTATGTGCTAAAAAAAAAAAAAAGGAGAAAAAAATCCCATTTATTCAATATAAAGTGGACCTGAATAGTCCACTAGGCTTTCAGCAAGAGTGAGACAGATAGATGCTGGCTTAACATCCAACTTGAATTTCATTATCCTTGGAATGTCCTTTGCTATTCTCATTAAACAAAAATGATGGTAATTGACTCTTGTCCCTGGAGAAACAAACACATTTTGATTGGAAAGAGTTGAAAAACATCCCAAATGAAGATTACTGGTTTTGTTTTGTTTTGTTTTTCTATTCTATTTTCTTTTTTTTTTTTTAAGATTTTTTTATTATTATAATTTATTTATCGTTAGAGGTGAAGGGAAGGAGAGAGGGAGAGAAATATCAATGTATGGTTGACTCTTGTGCATCCCCTGCTGGGAACTGGCCTGCAACCCAGGCATGTGCACTGACTGGGAATCAAACCGCAGTTGTTTGGTGCACAGGCCCGTGTTCAATCCACTGAACTACACCAGCCAGGGCACACTGTTTTGTTTTATACAGTTAAACTTCTTGGTGGAGAGGATGCATTCTAGGGGCATCATTTTCTTGTAAAACTCAATGGATATATATTAAGTCAAATTGAGCACAAGTCCCATGAAATGACATCAAACATTTAGTAAATAGTAGAAAAACAGAATAACAAGTAAAAAAGCAGATTATATCAGATTTATAGAGAACACATTCCAGGTGAAGCTGGATGTCAGGGTGATGAGAGAGAGGTCCTGATTGCCTTCAGGTCATGGTGATTAGAGAGAGGGGTTATAAAAGGAACAGTGAGCAAGGCCTGGCACTGAAGGCAATCTACATTCAGATTAGGTAGCTTTAAGTATTTTCCTCTCTTCTCAGTACCTTCTTGTCTTTGTATAGAGCTGTGAGTGAGGACTGAAATGGTAGACCTTTATCTGGGTAGCTACTAACCCAGAAAGGAGGGGGAACCCCTGAACTTAGAAAATATTAAATATTAAGGTAATGCCAGGTATATTTGGGAAAAGCAAAATAATCACTTGACAGTCTGGGATAGAGAGGTGAAAGAGAAGTTTGGATGTTCTATAATGCATTTATTTATATCCACTATGAAAAAAATTGTTTGCGGTGACTTTGAATAAACATAGTGCAGTAGATTAAAGACCATGGTTAGAGCAATCAGTGAAATAGAAAAAAACACTATAGTAAGAGATAAATTTGATGTACAGTGATACATATTTTAGGCATGATATAATTAATAGACAAAGCAAAAAAAGTAATGTTGGAGTTTTCTCTTTTTGAAGATTTTATTTATTTATTTTTAGAGAGAGGGGAAGGGAAGGAGAAAGAGTGGGAGAGAAGGGGGTCTTTTGCATGCCCCCTTCTGGGAACCTGCAATACAGGCATGTGCCCTGACTGGGAATCAAATCAGCAACCCTTTGGTTTGCAGGGCTGAACTCAGTCCACTGAACTGTACCAGCCTGGGCATGGTGTTGGTTTTAAGGTGCATATTTCAATGCGTGTTTCCTGGCACTGAAGCATCAGAACTCTGCTGTGGGGCCACACAAAGAAGATACTGTCGTGCAACCTAGCAGCACACCTGATTATACTAACAGGAGTTACTAGAAATAGGCCTTCAACACATTCATCTAGCATTTCCATGGAAGATTCTTCAGTGACACCACACTGCCCTGAGGGTTGGCACCTTTTTAGAGTCTTCTCTGTCTCTCTACCATAAAAGACTAATTTTTTTCCCATCTGTTGCTGGTAATAGAATTCATGGGCTGCCTGTGTATAAAAATATTTCCTCATATGTTTATTTTCTGAATTTTAATAGAAAACAAACTTTCCACAGTTATGGGGAAGAGGTATAGTAAAATACTTAACATTTTCATATTGTGCTCACATTCTATTTATGTTTTACATGTTAATGGCAATTACTTCTCAAAGAAATCTTACAGGGCAGCTAATATTTTTACCTTCTTTTTAAAATATACTTTATTGATTATGCTATTACAGTTGTCTCTTTTTTTCCTTTTTATTTCCCTGTGCCCTGCACCATTCCTCCCACCAGCATTCACCCACCCCCTTAGTTCATGTCCATGGGTCGTACATATAACTTCTTTGGTCTCTCCATTTCCTGTACTATTCTTAACCTCCCACTGTCTACTTTGTACCTACCATTTATGCTCCTTATTCCCTGTATCTTTTCCCCCGTTCTTCCTCCCTCCCCCTTCCCTGCTGATGACCCTCCATGTGATCTCCATTTCTATGATTCTGTTCCTGTTCTAGTTGTTTGCTTAGTTTGTTTTTGTTTTTGTTTTAGGTTCAGTTGTTGATAGTTGTGAGTTTGTTGCCATTTTATTGTTCATATTTTTTATAAAAAATATGGAATGCTTCACAAATGTGTGTGTAATCCTTGCACAGGGGTCATACTAATCTTCTCTGTAACATTCCAATTTTAGTATATGTGCTGCTGAAGTGAGCACTTTTTACCACCTTTTTAATGGAAGATTATATAAAGAGCCTAAGGTAATGCAGCTAGCAACTGAGTCAGAATTCAAACCCAGGCCTTCTGGCTCTTACTGCTTCTCAGTTATACCTCATTGTTATGAGATGCAAATACTGATGCACATTAAACAGAAATGCATTACCATTCATGTGTGGCTGATAATCGAATCAGTGAAGTAAAGGATCACTCCCTCTCTCCCTTTTTTTTGATGAATAAATTGCAGGATAGATGACAGTTTGCCTGCTGATAGGAAAAGGAGTCCTGGATGTGAAAGACAGGAGCAGATACCTGCTATGACATTTTTATGGTTTGGCCTAGCAGGGTTGCTTAGTAAGTGAAAAGTACTGTGCTTGGGGATGAAGGGATGTGCTAGCAGGAGGGAAAAGCTTGAAGAAAAGAGCGCCATAAGAGTTATAAAAACAAGAAATAAAAACAGATTTTACAGTTCTCTTAGGATAGTGTGGAGTTCCAGTGAAAGTGGGTGAGTTTTAGCATTTAGAAAGACCTAAGATCTAATATTTTGTAAAAAGCCTTTTAAGTTGTACCAATCAAAGATATTGGGGGAGAAAGCCACTAGGGTAACAATATGGGCTGAGCCTTAAAAAAAATATTCTTATTCCATACATATACAACATTGGCACAAGTGTACACACACACACAGGAAGTAAGGAATCAGGCAAGACCCTTGGCCTCTGGTAACTAACAGAGCTGAGCTAGAGAATCTCTTCTAGTGGCTCTGGGTGTCCTGGCTTTCTCCAAGATCAACCCATTTTTGAAGATAATCCTGCAACACTAATAGAGGGAGGCCCAATTTAGGAAAGGGCTATGTAGTAGGTACTGCTTTATTTCTAACACCTCCAACTAAGCATAGCTGCTAAGTTTGCTTTGGGTGGAATGAATTGGACTGCATAGGACCTTGGTCAAGTGGGCTGTATTTTCTCTGTTTAAAAATATATAGTTAAGCCCTGGCTGATGTAGCTCAGTGGATTGAGCACGGGTCTGTGAAGCAAAAGGGTTGCCGGTTCAATTCCCAGTCAGGGCACATGCCTGGGTTGCAGGCCAGGTCCCCAGTGGGGGCAGCATGAGAGGCAATCACACATTGATGTTTCTGTCCCACTCCTTCTCCTTCTGTTTCCCTCTGTCTAAAAATAATACATACATATATATAAAATAGTACCTCTTGTGATTGTTCAGAGGAAGCTAAAATAGATAATGGAAGTAATGTACAAGATGAAAGGATAAAGCATTTAGAATGAGTTGGGGTTTTTTTAATCTAACATGGTAATATTTTAGTGATTAAAAGAATTGTTTTCTCACTGACATTTTTCAGTAACATCAAACTAATAGAAATCGTAGGAATGTAAGACCCTTCTCCCTGTGGAGGTTGAATAAAGCCGCTCCACCCCACTCCCAGTTGGACCTTGTTCGAAAGGAGTTATTTCTCATCACTGGGTTAAGAATATCCTTTGTTTTTCTGATAAAACTAAGAAAATTTAGTGTTTCGGATTTGGGGGTTTTTTTTGTTTGTTTTTTGTTTTTTTTTGAGAAGTTGAAATTTATTCTCTATAATGAAAAGTAAAATGCTCATTGCAGAAAAAATAATAATCTTATCTCATAGAGATAACCATAGATAAAAGTTGTATTTTAACTGTAAAATATTGTCAGGAATTAGTTTTGTATTTGTCAGTAGTCAATAGGAATCCATAAGGAAAGCAAGCCAGTACTAAAGGTCTTTATTTATTTAGACTTAAGAAATTTAAGACCAAGGTTATTTGTGGTTTTGTTATATTAGTAAAATATGAATTTGTATATTAGTAAATTAGAAATCTGCATTAGTAAAATAAAATTTTCATTTCAAGGAAAAAAGATTTTAGGCTTTTTAAAGAAGTTAGTAATTTATTTTTTTCAAGAGGTAGTGTCTAAAAAAGTTTTTAGTATAATCTGATTTAACTAAGAAACATTTACAATCTTACCAAATCCAACTACATAATCTTTTTGAGAAATCATAAAGTTTGTAAGATGCCAATATTTATGTCCTTTCAGGGCAATTTATAACTTCAGTTTTCCTGAGGAAATACTCTCTAAGAGGTTTTCCTCCCCTTTTTCTTCACAAGGGGTATTTATTAATTGCTGGAGTGCTTAAGAAACAAAGTGTATATAACTTGATATTAATGGGACATTCCAGTGCTAGTACTTACAAAGTCGTTAACAAGTTGAGCTAGATCAACTTGAGTCAAGGTATGGAGCTCATCTAGAGTTTTAGATACTTCTATTGAATGGGGGGTGGGGTAGGGACTCATACCTATTTTACATGATTACTTGAAAAATAAAATGAAATAATATTAGAACAACCACTGTTAATTTGACATGTTTCTAAACTCTACCAACCTCTAACAAAACCATAAGCACATCTGCAAAACTTTAGACAAGAGCCAATGAGGTTTAGATTTAGAGAACCATTTTTTTGTACAATTTCAGGTGGTATTTTTTAACTGACTAGATAAGATGAGAGAGAACAGAATTGAACATAACTAATTGTCCACCTGTAGAATGTGGAAATGAAATATGTTTAGGTATGGTTCCATAATATCTGATGATAATTAATACATATTGAGTATTAATGATTTGCTAAATTTTTTAGTAGTCTGTTTTATTTCATACCTATGAAAACTGTATGAGGTAGGAGAATTACTTTTCATTTTACAGAGATTATAATAATCTGTTGTAAATACAGAGAGGTTTAGGAGCATGTTTCCTAGGCCTTTTTAGTAGAGGAGCCAGAATTTGAACTAGGCAGTCGGATTTCAGAGTTCTTGCTTTCCTCACCCCACTTTGTTCAGATATAATGACACACAGGCACTGCATAAGTTTAAGGTACACAGCATAATAATTTGATTTACAAATGTTGTGAAATGATTACCACAGTAAGTTTCATCCATTACTTCATACAGTTACAAAAACCCTTTTCTTTCCTTGTGATGAGAACTTTCAAGATTTACTCTCAACAATTTTAATATATATCATATGGTAGTATTAACTATAGTCATGTTTTAGATTACATCCTAGTAGTTATAACTGGAAGTTTGTATCTTTTGATTGTCTTCATCCAGTTCTCCTCCTCACTTCCAGTAACCACAAATCTGATCTCTTTTTTTCTATGAATTTGGTTTTTGCCTTTTTTTTTAAGATTTCACATTTAAGTGAGATCATACTATAGCTGTCTGACTTACTTCACTTAGCATAATGCTGTCAGGGTTCATCCATGTTGTCACAAATGCAGGATTTTCTTTTTTTTCTTTTTTGTATTGGCTGAATAATATTCATTGTTTGTATACATGTACCAGAACTACTTATCCATTCATCCATCAGTGGGCACTTGGGGTATTTCCAGGTTTTGGCTGTTATAAATACATCTCCTATGAACAGGGGGATGCAGATATCTCTTAAACATAGTATTTTTGTTTGCTTTGGATTTATTCCCATCAGTGGGATTGCTGGGTCATTTTGTGGTTCTGGTTTTAGTGTTTTGAAAACCTCCAAACTGTTTCCATAGTGGCCATATCTATTTAGATTCTCAATATCAGCACACAGTGGTTCTTTTTTCTCCATTTTCTCACTAGCATTTGTTATTTCTTGATCTTTTTCTGGTTTCTGTAGTTTTGCCTTTTCTAAAATGTCATATATGTAGGTGAAATTATACAGTATTTAGGCTTTTCAGACTGTTGTTTCACTTAGCAGCATGCATTTCAGATTCTGCTATGTCTTTTTGTGGCTTCACAGTTGATTTCTTTTTATAATTGAATAATATTCCATTGTATGGATATACCACAGTTTGTTTATTCATTTACCTGTTGAAGGACATCTTGCTTGATTGATTCCAGTTTGGGGCAATTATGAAAAAAAAAACTGCTCAATATCTTTTGCAGGTGTTTATATTATATCTGCTTGAAGTATTGATCCTTCATCATTGTATAATGCCCTCTTTATTGCTGATAACTTTCCATGCTCTGAAATCAGCTCTGTGTGAAATTAATATCGCTACTCTTTCTTTTTTTTTTTTTTTTTAGTGTTAGCAGGATTTACTTTTCGCCATCCTTTTAATCTATATGTGTCTTTGGATTTAAAGTGGGGTTATTGGTAGATAAGAATTGGGCCTTTTTTTTTTTTATTCTAACAGTTTCTTTTAATCGCTGTATTTAGACCATTGATGTCTAAAACAGTTATTGGTATAGTTGGATTTCTATCTACCATGTTTGTTACTGTTACCTATTCCTTGCCTTGGTTTTAATTGAGTATTTTATTGCTCATTTTTCTGTCTTTCTTAGCATATCGATTACACTTAAAAATTTTAACAAAATTTTTAATGGTTGCCTTAGAATTTCCACTATACATTTACAAATAATCCAAGGTCACTTCCAAGTAGCACTATGTCACTTCTTGGATAGTGCAGGGACCTTATAACAACAAAATATTTGATTCCTCCTGCTTTTTCCTTGTATCATTGCTGTCATTTGTTTGGCTTATGCATAAGCATACATAATCAGATACATTTTTACTATTATTTTGCACAGAATTGTTACGTGTTAGATTAATGAAGAGTAAGAAAAATAAAAGGTTTTACTTTGCTTTTACTTAATCATTATTCAGAGCTCTTTTTTAAAATAAATCTAAGTTCCTGACCTATATCATTTTCTTCTCTCTGAAGAACTAACACTTCTTATAACGGAGGTCTACTAGCAACAAATTTTCTAAATTTTTGTTTGTCTGAAAGGCCTTTATTTATTTTTCATTTTTGAAGGATAATTTCATAGGGTACAGAATTTATGTTGGTGAGTTTTTTCTCTCAACAATTCATTATTTCACCATGCTTTCCTCTTAGGAGCTTGCGTGGTTTCTCTGGAGACTCAGATCTAATTCTTATCTTTGTTCCTCTCTATAGGTAAGATGTTCTCCCCGACCCCTGCCCTCTTTCAGGGT